TTTGACATATATATGGAAAATTGCCTACAAAAATCCTTCATGCATTTATGTATGTCAGTTTTTTTAGACTGGTATTACATTAAATATGAGAATTGTATTCCAATCTCTTTGTACATTCTTCTACATTTGTACATTTTTAAGAAGACATTCTTCTACATTTTTAAGAAGACATTCTTCTACATTGTACGAAGGTTTATACAAAGATAAAGATAAGGTATAACGTAAAGGTTAAGCATACAATATTTGTAAGCGACTATGTGTAAGTGCAAAGCATAAAACCAACTTAGAAAATGATTAACAAATACATGAATGTTATACTTACCTTTGTTGTTGTCTTCATTTTTTTGCTTGGATCCTATATGAACAGAACTTGTAAGCTTCTTCATTTTCTTAGTAGTTTAGAAGTTTAAAATCTCTTTTTTCAAAAATAGTGTAGGACAAATTTGATGTCTCTGATATATATAATATTAAGCCTGCATTTTATTGGTAATGTAATTAAAAGAATTTTTGAGGTTTGAGAATACTCTTTTGGGCGAGAATTTTTTTTTTTTTCTAATTTTATTTTCTAAAAGTTTCTGCTTTATTATAATAGAGAATTTTTTTCTAATTTTATTTTCTAAAAATTTCTGCTTTATTATAATAGAGATTATGTAATCTCAGTTAATAAATTATGTAATTATTACATGTATATAATAGGTTAACTGAAAGTATATAATAATGTATTAATAACAAATACATAATTTAAACGTCATTTAAGATACACAATTAAGGTGAACTTGGTCAATAGTATAATTTGCATAATACAGTCTTGATCGATCCTTTAACATGGTTTTATTCAATTGTTATACTGTGCACCTCGCGCCTCCCAAAACGACGTCGTTTTGTTAAGTTGTTAAAAAAAAATCTAATGTTTCGAATGCACATAAACTCATAACAGAATACATAATACACATAACTCATAACACAATACACATAAACTTTTAACTGAATACACATAATGGGCTTTCCAAAAAAAAAAAAAAAAAAACACATAATGGGTTTGGTTAACATAATACACATAAACTCTTAACTGAATACACATAAAATTTTAACTGAATACACATAATGAGGTTTGATCTGTTCGGATGAACGAAATGGCATCAGCATGAAACGCGCGCGTTTTGTGTCTGGGTGGTTCACAATATAAATTGCCGGTTTTATTCGGTCGTTATATTATAGACCGCGGTGCATGTGCACCGCGGTAAAAAACGGCGCCGTTTCTTTAAGTAAAGAAACGGCCCGCCGTTAGAGTTAACGGAGTTCGTTTGTTTGGTGTATTAAATACCAACTGACACTATAATATATCTAAACCGACACTGCAGTTATATCAAAATGATACTGTAGTTATAGTGAAATGAAACTGCAGTGTATATAAAATGAATCTGAATAACATTTCACATATTTGAGTGTATATTGTACAATGAAGCTGTAATTATATCAAAATGATCATGTAGTTGTGTTTTAATGAAACTATAGTGTATATAAAATAAAATTAAATAACATTTTCACATATTTGAGTCTATAAATATCGAATGAAACTATAGTTATATCGAAATGAAACTGTAGTTGTGTTGAACTGAAACTGCAGTGTATACAAAATGACACTGAATAACAAAGTTACTTTTTGCAAAAGGGTGCGAAACGGCGGAAACAAACACGGTTTATTTTCATTTTTAAAAAAAAACGCGCCGTGCATAATATATTATGCAGTGCATAATATAATTTGCCGGTTTTATTGACACCGGCCTTGACCCGTTATGGAAGTATGGAACCCAAAAGGGCTAAACAAACCACAGACGTGTTGCGTTCCGTCATCTTCCGCTCCATTATTTCCCTCTAAAATGGCGACGGAGCTGAACCTAAAGCCAGAGAGCAGCAGCCAACCCGAGAGTGAGACTAAGAATGAGGAGGAAGAGGAAGCTCGAAGAAGAAGAAATTCAAGGAAAGAATTTGATCTTGGAAATGGAAGCGAGGTGATTTACATACCCAGATTCATGTCCTACGACCAATCTTGGGAATATTTGGAATACCTTAACAAACACATCCCTTGGACCCGACCCACCATTCGCGTATTCGGCCGACCATTTCTTCAGGTTTATGCAGCATTTTTCATACACTGATTTTATTATTTTTATTTTATTTGAACTTTGATCATGAATTGACGAATAATTAACGGTCAATTTTGCTCCATAAATAGTTGAAAAAACTAGATTGTGGTTAGTGATATTGTTGTAATGAACACCAGGAGGTCTGTAGTTTGATCAATATGGATTTATTTTGCTGAATTTATGGATTTTAGTAGGGACTTGAATGTAATACTGGGAAGTGAGGATCATGTAGTATATGGCTTTTGGTTTAACTTCCATGAAAATTTCTTTGTGATCCTCATCATGCTTGGGTTTCTAAATTCTATTCTGGAAGCAAAGAAAGGGAATTTGTTGTGAGGAAGTGGGTAAAAGGGCCTTGTTGGCGGAGGTGTATCTCAAAAATGTGGCTGTCTATAAGGAATAAAGTTGCGTTTTTGGCATAGTAGTAAACGCATGATTCTAATAGAATTCGAAGTGGGGTTCAATCCTCAGGAAGCATCAATCCAGAATTGCTTAGATGTTTGATCCGGCTGCACTAGATGTTCTAATTTCATTGGAAAATCCCTTTCTCCTTTCCAACTTTATTTCAGAATAGCTGGAATTTGCAGAAAGAGTGAAGGTCTGGTTTCGTCATGGATTATATTGATTAGTCTTGAAACTAACAGTTTCTTTGCGTGCTGATAGACTGATAGTTAGCTTTAGGTGTGACTTCCAAAAATTTTTTGAGATAAACAGATATCTCACCCTCGCTAAGATGTTTCAAGAAAATCTAACATATGAACTTGTCTCAATCCAATTACAAGCTATAGATTGGGCACCGCAAAAAATAAAACAACCTTGGCATCTGTAACTAAGAAAAGATAAAATCTTTATCCTCTTTGGATTTTCCCGTTTTGTAAAGCACTTCCTTTTGGAGAAATAGTAGTACTCATTGTTTAAGCTACTGCAGCCTAGAGACACTTGCTATGTTGCTAGTGAAGGATTGTCCGAGCTGGTTTACAGTGGATATAAGCCCCACGCTTATTCTTGGGATGAATTCCCTCCTCTCAAGGAGATTCTAGATGCAGTAAGCTCACTTCAGTTCAATCTTCACTCTTCAAATGCTTCGTGTTGAGATAGATATATCTTAGTTGTCAACATTTTATGTTTTATCCCATAGGTTCATAAAGCTATTCCTGGAAGCCACTTCAACAGCTTGCTTTTGAATAGGTACAAGGGTGGAAATGACTATGTTGGCTGGCATTCTGACGATGAGAAACTTTATGGACCAACTCCCGAAATCGCCTCTGTTTCTTTTGGATGCGAACGCGATTTCTTCTTGAAAAAGAAGCCAAATAAAACATCCCGAGGTATTTGCATTCAGTGACTTGTTCACACTCTACGTTTCAATACTATGAATTCAGTTGGCCGTGTTCTGATTGTGTTTAACTAACATAGCAGGTAAAAACGCTGAGGGTGAACCTCCCAGCAAGCGATCTAAAAAGCATGATAACTCTGAGCAACACCATTTTGCGCTAAAGAATGGGTCACTGTTGGTGATGAGAGGCTATACTCAACGGGATTGGCTCCACTCGGTACCAAAGCGTGCAAAAGTAGAGGCTGTACGGATTAACCTCACCTTCAGGTGCATTCTTTGATTGGTTGGAAAATTACTTGTGTGATGGATGCCATACCAAGTCGAAGTTGCTGTAAGAAAGTTGACACGTTTTTGAGAAAATGGAGTTCACAGTTGAACATGGTTAACTGCTAGATTTGAGTTTTGGTGCAAGTCTTGAAGGCTATGGGTGTTGAGTAAGACAGCATAGGAGCTCATCAAGGTCACAAAATCCCAAGGTCTGATATGAGTCTTTTATGAGTTGGTGTAATCATTTTTGTGCAGGGTTGATAAGGCCTAAACATGACCTGTCACTTAAAGGCAGATATGGCTCATTTCTTACGCTGTGTAGCACCAATAGAATTTGGAATCCAAATTTAACTTACGTACCAATTAAAGACAATACTATTTAATCAGCTTGGTTAACGTGAATGCACTTTTATCCCTTAAAAAAGATCAGAAGTTCCAAATTTCCTCTTGTATAAAAAAATCAATATAGCCAGCATTTTACGCTTTATTTGGGTTAGCGCAAGATGAACAAAAATTAGTTTATGTATGGTACAAGTTTAAAGATGTTTTCTATGGTTAGTTTATTTAGAACACCAACCAGCTTAATTGACGTGAATACTCATGCACTTTCATCCCTTAGAGAGGTCAAAAGTTCTAAATCCCCTATTGTATAGAGAAATTAATATGGTTAGCATTTTATCCTTTAATTGGGCCAGCCTCAGAAAAAGTAAGCACCCATGCCTTGATTGAATTTGGCTTCGTTGCTCCCTGAATCAATCAAAAAGCTTATTGATTTGATTCATCCCATTTCATTTGGGCGAGAGGGAGGTTGTGAGTCACCTGGACTACACATTTTTCGGTTGGTTGATTCTCGAAATCACCTCTTGAAAATAAGGCCGGCCCACGGTATGGACAAGACTTAAAAGCTGTTTAGCATACATACCACATCAGGCGTGGCTTGGATTTGAAAGTGTAAAGCCAAAAATGAAACTTTTTTCTACATAAAACATGGCAGGGTAACACCAATAATATCCATGACTGGAAGCAATTGTAACCCACATGGGAATTTTGCCTAAAAATTCAATATCTTTTCATTTTTATCCAAACCTATTGAAAAATGTCAATTTCCCTAAATACCACACCATGTCATGACATTGACACAACCAGAATTGCCTCAGCCAGTTTAAACCAAAGCTCATATCCAACATGTAATCTAAGTAGAAATCTAGAGACAACAATGGGCAATGGATGCTCTAGTCTCTAGACGACGATTTACGCACCCACAAATGCAAATGATATTACTTTGTATAGGGAATGGCAGATATACAAAACTCAAAAAAGCAATAGTACAACAAAACCTAAGCTCCTGCACAAGGTAGGTAAAGCTAACTGGGTAAATTGTGGTGGCGGCTATCTTGCTTGCTACATTAGAGCTGTACAGGAGGCCTAAAAGTCGACTACAACAACACGGCTCAGGACAGCTACACAAATGTCGTTGGGAGCCATAATTATGCTAAACGCTAAACTCCATCCATCCTTTGCGCTACCGTTTGCTATAAAGGTTATCTGTACTTCACAATTTATGATTATTTTCGAGGATTAATGGCTAAATCTTCTACTAGGTCATCTAAAATAATAGTACATGGAGACTGCCCGGGGGCTGCACTTGTCGCTAAACTGGTTCATAGAATAAGCCATTTACTGCTGCTGTCTGCTCACTCATTTCCTCTGAGCTGGTTTCCCTACCCGACGCTTCCACATGCTCTGCAATTCACCAAAGTCGTATCGGTCAATATTCATAAAATTAATGAGTTAATACCTCCAATGGTCCTCTGAGTATTAGCGATTTACCAACTGTGGACATCCAAGTTTTAAATGACCTCCAATGATCCTCCATGTTTTAAAAAATAACCACCCGTAGTTCTTTTAGGACGTCTTGTGGTCATTTTAAACTCAGAGTTTTTTAAGAATTAGGACCACGGGTGGTGGTTATTTTTTAAAACATGGAGGATCAATGGAGGTCATTTAAAACTCGGATGACCACAGCTGGTAAATCACTAATAGTCGGAGGACCATTGGAGGTATTAACTCTAAAATTAATCTACGAGTTAAGATGTAAATCTGGGAATTTCATACAAGAGTCTCATCGTCAGAAAAATCTGCGTCGGCAGGAGTAGTAGTCTCTTCAGATTCATCTTCATCTGTGGGATGGCTTCCTGCTTCATCATCCATTGGACTGCCTGGACTATCTGGTTTCTCCTCGACTTCATGCTCCTCGTCTGAACACTTTTCTGCCGATATCTCTTCCTGTGGTTTCTCATCTGAAGAAGACGACATTTCTTGTTCATCAGACACGGGTGCATCGTGGGGAGTGCCTGGTTCTTCCGCTTCTTTATTTTCAGATTGGCTTTCCTCTTTGGACTCTCCCACGTCACCCGATTCATTCTCAGCATCATCATCATCACCTCGTTTCCCATCAGAAAGTGATATTTCGTCGTCCTTCTCAGACTGCTCGTGGTCAGATAAACTCTTCTCCATGATTTCTTCTCGTTTGCCTTCAGGAAAATTAGGAAAGCTCAATCATATTTTACATTTCAATAACAAACTGAAAGTGGTTTTTAGAACTGATTCAAACCTTTATCTGATTCGAAATAATCAACTAGGGACCTACTCTTTGATATGCCTTTTTGTCCGTATTTCAAATTCTTTCTTGGAGTTCTCTTCCCTCTTACTTGTGATAATGGAGACCTGCAAGGCAATTAGGTAAAAGCATATAGAAGATGGAAAAGAAACGAAGACACAAACATAATCTACTGGCTCTTTGGCTGAACTGCAATGGCAAACTCACATATGACTCATCACTTTCTTTTGCCCAGATCCACCCGAAGATCTCCCTTTCTTATCACCAGATCTGCACAACAGTAACATGAAAAAAATATAGTACGTAATTCTCTTGCAGTGAATAAAACTTAGAGCCTTCGAGCATCATGCAGTAAGCTGATTAGAGCATCAAATTCCAATAATACTGCCATGAAACTAGAAAAGAAACGAAGGACTTACACTCCCTTGGACGATGCACTCTTTGACGATTTTGATCGCTGCAGATAATGTCAAGTATCAGATACTGAATCAAAACTAACGATGCAGTGGAGATTAGTGGTGAAACTCATTCACAGAATAATATTTATAGAAAACTCCTCCTGACCTTAACAGGCTTCTCTCCACCATCAACAAGCTCCCAGCGCTCCTTATCCAACCGGAGGACTTCAACATCTCCATCATTATATAATATCTTTCACAGAAATTAACAATGAAAGACACCCATGAATCAAGTGAAATTACAAAAGAATAATGTGAGCATTGATGTTGTTGGGCAGAGACCAGTGAAGGGCCAAGTCCAACAATTCGTGGCTAGGGAAATTGTTGGGCAGAGCCCGGTTCAGTAAAGGGCTAAGTCCAGCACCCTGCCTCTCGAAAATGTGGTGGCGGCATATAACTATATAAGGAAATAAAGTTGCGCCTTCGCTGTGAGCTATAGCTTTTGGCGTAGTGATAAGCGTTTGATCCTAACAGATGTGATACACAAAACTGTCCAACATACTTAAAAATTAGAGGATTAATAAAATGCAGCTTACCACATGTTTTTTCTTCTGGGTGTCGAAGGACTTTATAACTCCTTCATAGAACCTGAAGTGTCATGGAAAGTAGAAAACAAAGTTAGTGTGTACGGAACAGTGCACCAATGAGACACCAGAAGGCAAGAAAGGAGAAAACAAGAAATACAAGCTACTGGATACTTTCTTTTCTCATCAGTAGATACCACTATGAAGTTAAAGAGTATGATTGATGTTCCGAAGAAAAGAAACATAATAGCTAAACAAGAGGCCAGATAGAACCAAGTCAGCCACCAAACTGAAGAACACTTTTTCTAACACATTAAATGCAGTTCCGTTCGGGGAAATTTTACAAGTTGGGGATAAATAAGAAAAGAATGAAAGAGTGCCCTTGTTAGACCAAAAATATCCATAAAGGACAATGGAATCATTCTACAAGATGAAGATAAATAAACATAGCAAAAAGAAGTAATCTCATTCAACCCAGACTATCCCCCAAAAAAAGGACCTCTGGAATTACATATCACCATGTATAATATTTTAAGGAAAAAGGGAAATGAACCAAAGAGGTGAATCATACGAGTCGCAAGGATTGACAAGGAAAAGCAATACCATCAGAACAATGCCAATATAAGAAGATAATAGAAAGAGGCAAGGCAACACCAGGTGTTGGCCCACATAAATGTGCATAATCATTTATTACAGTCCAAAGCCCTTCCAAATGTCTTGATAAATAAGATTAAAATTTTGATTCAAGTGACTTACTGCTTATCCATGGGCCACCAAACTTTTATTCGGCAACCAATCAAGTCCTCCGTGGTTGGACTTTCGCCACCCTTCGAAGTGCACTAGAGTAGATACAAAAGCAGCATTTAAGTATTAAACACACAAACAAACTGCAGACACACCAAATAGAATCATTCCAATGAATAAAGAAAATCAAAGGACAATTAGAAAAACCATTGCTAGAAACAATAGAAAAAACACAAAAGTACAAAAATATTCCCAAATAGAAAAAGAAAAATCTCTTTAGATAGGAAGGACATTTGTCAGTTTATTTAGCATCGTAATAAAAGAAAACAAATTCTCCAATGACTAAAATCAAATTGAATTGTTCTCATTTAAGAACTTATGTTAGTAGAGGGGGGAGACATTTATCGTTCTACATATCAACAAAGCATCAGATACTAATATTTAAGCAGCAGGCTAAAGCCCACACTGCAGATTGAAGAACACACACACACACAAATGGTTACTACATGCCTAGTAACTTGAAATTTTTGAGATGTAGCAAACTAGTGAACTACTATCAACCATGCCAAGCTATTCAAAAGAGATGCATCAAATTAGAGTCAAAGATATTGAACACAATAACCTTTGCCAACCCAGAAATGTTTCTCCTCTTCTGCTTCTTCATAGATCCTGACTTGGAATCATTTGAGATATGTGTCCCATCAGTTGCAATATTTTCTTTAGACTTCTGTAAAAATGGGGAATTCAGTTGAGGACAAGAATTTATAGCTGCAATGCAACCAGTTTTACTTGTAAAGAAGCTTACTTTCACTTCATGGTAGTCCTTAGTGTCAACTTCATGGTCCAAATCCGAAACCTTCCGCTTTCTTTTTGCTGAAGGGGTTGAATTCTTGCGGATGCATGAGTTCAACAACTTATCTTCTGAAACAGTATCTTCTTCCAACGACTTATCTTCTGAAACAGAGTGAAGGTCATCATCCCCTTCAGTGGAGTTTGAGGCACTTGCCTTAAGCTTCTTGTTAGGCTTCTCATTCTTTGATGCGGGAGATGGCTTAAGAGCCTGAGCAGATGACCTCCGCTTTTTAGGAACAGGACCATCTGTCGAATCACTACCATCTGTTTTTCTTTTTTGATGTTTGGTACTGCTTTTTACTTTTCCAACATACTCATGGCCATTGCTTGATTCAAACTTATTAGGATTGACAACACTGTCTGAATTAATTTCCCTCACCATTTTCAAGATATCATCATCCACATCATTTTTCACCTCAGCAAGGGTAGATTCATTCTTTACCTCATTGCGAGCCTTGGATCCCTTGGCTTTTAGCCGTTTCATAATTTTCCCTAAAGGCATCTCATTTCCATCTGTTTCAATATCTTTCATTATGTCAGATTCAGTAATTTCAGCATTAACCTGAAGAGTGCAAAATAGCAGAAATGTAAGAATATATACCAATCACCATATCACTGTAACTGAAAGGTAACAAAGAGCTTACTTTTCCATTAGTTTCCAACATAAGTGTCTCAAATTGGACCAAGACTTTCTCATCAGTCAGCCATGTCTGTTCTTCAACCTGTCATCAAATACAGTGTCAACAACCTAAACCAGCAGCAAAATGTAATACTTCCTTTTCACCAATGGGAAAGCTACGAATTAGGAATAGTTTCCCCATTTCTAGCTGGGTTCCTTCATTTAAAGAGTAACCGTGCCAAACAAGTTTCCATTAAGGCCAAGAAGTTGCACAAAATATTGAAAGTTAGCGAAGATCAACCACAGAAAATAACTAGCAACAAACTGATGCATATTCCATCATGAAATCTTGAAGCAACATCAAACAGGGAACCTCAATACTGAAAGGAAGAAAATTATTGTGGTGGATCCTTGTAGTGTAATTGAAGAGCCCACTGGCTGATCAAATTGTCCATCATAAATTCAGTTCAAAAGATGCCCACAGGACAATACGGAAGGTCCTTTGGGCATTAAACACTTGACCTCCAGCTCTACTACCAGATATTTAATTAAAAAAACAAACAGCAATATAAATCGAGCATAGAAGTATGTCCTAGTACAGAGAAAAACGGACATATCCCATTCTTCAATGCACGATGTCTGGAATCAGATTATTGTATCTATTATAATTCTTTTTTTGAAAGGGTATCTACTATAATTCTAGTTTCTAAAAACTCCTGTTTTTTGTATGATAAGGAAGGTTCTGACAGAAAGGCACAGAGAACTTAGTTATAAATGCAATGTCAGTAGCTGTGGAACCATGCAGAAAAGGAGGTGTTCATAGTTCAGGAAAAAACAAAATATGAAACCCACTTAACATCTAAACCCAATCACTAAAGAAACTTAATTTTAAGGAATTCAACTCATGATACACGGAACAAATAAGGACTCTGACCAGATTGAAAATAACAAGGAACATACCGGAGAAGTGTCATTTCCTTCATCCTTCTCAGGCTGTTTGAAAAGCATTGTAGGTAGTGGCACCAGTGTGTTCAATTCCAGAGCATCATCTTGTTTTGAGGCCAAGCGCTTTATGATTGAAAGGCCAAGGTCGGAAATACCATACAAGTTCTACAAAAATTGATGCACATTATAATCTCGTTCAATATTCAAATTAATAATTGGCACTTTTCTCAATCTTCTTTGCGAAATAACATTTTAGGTTCTTGGTTAACTGTTAGGTACCTCAGAAGGAGACATAGAAGATAAAAACAAGGTGATGGAAATTGATAAAATTTATTTACAGGATCTGAAAGGTCAAAAAAGGGCTTTTTTCCAACCTTAGATTTTGTAGCATCTACAGCATCTTGTGATTGCTTGACACTATGCAAAATAGAGTTTATTGCTGCAATACTTTCCTTCTCCTGATCCTTGCTAATTTGAGATTTGCCATCTTCATCTCTATGCATGAACATTGAGAGGAATAAATGCAACTGCCTGAAAAGAAGATGCCTCCAGGTATTAAAAAAAATTGAAACTTCAAGAAAACTCCTTTTTAATAACTAAACCTTAATGTTAAAAAGGCAGGCATTTGTAATATATATAATATCCCTATCCCTCACTATGCAAGCTAATCCTCTCTCAAAGGAGTAAAAGATAAAATTCCAATCCCCTTATTATATGTATCACAATCGATGACCTGACAAAAATATATAGGCATGTAGCATCATACATACTACTTCATCCTAATGGCATGAATAAAATAGTGATGAAAACTAGTTTGGGATGTTTGGCCATCTTGATAAGGGCATTTCCAATCAATAACAAGGTAGAGTTTCTCTATGTAGAATGGAAGGAGTACATAAGATTCTTTATGCTAGTGTATAGTAATTGTCAGATAAGAGCAGAGGTACTATACCACAATATATATATATATATATATATATATATATATATATATATATATATATATATATATAGCAGCATACCAGTAAACTTTCCACAATTGTTAACAACCAATGGGAGAAAAGTAAATATAATTGTACCATAGGAGCTCTTCAGAATGAAAACCATAGATATAAAGGATTGAAGTAAATTTGAAGAACAGTGAATAAACTGCTGTTCAGTCTGTTTCTAGCTAGTTCTTAGGTATGTAGCAACCAGCCATCACAGAACAGAAATATACCTATAAAAAGGTTCAAATGCTTTAACATCTTTGCATTCTTCAATGTTAGGAAACAATGGATGATGAGCAAGAGCATGGACCAAATATGGTAAAATGTATTCAGGATAGCCCATAGGAGCATTAGCATCAGATTGTGAAGAGAGATGTCTTGCTTTCCCTTGTTGACACATCTGAATTATGTCACTTAAGTTGTTTTTAACCTGCCAATTGTTAGGAAATAAAAGGGTCACAGCATAACTCAACCAATGAATTTCAAGAACCCCTATACCATAATAAGCCTGAATACAACCAAATGATATGGAAGTAATGAACCACCTCTTCAATATTGACTTGCTCAGGTTTCATGTCAAGAAAGAAGGCACAAGCATACTTCGGATCCAAAAGCCGGTCCTTTATGTACTGGTGAACTTTGTTCAGAAATAGCTTTTTTACTTGAGGGAAATTGGCCTACTAGCATTAACCAGTGAAATAAAAAAGATTTATTCAGTATAACTTGCGGCTCAAAATTTTTATGCTCAAATATCTTATAGATGGTAGAATATAAAGAGATACAACATTTTTGAAGTAGAATATCAAGAGAAGACTTCACCTCTGGAGTTCTCAGGGTTAAATAAAAGACATCTACAGGAATCTTATGCTCCCAGTGTTTCGATAGGCGAAGAACAGCCTTTGCTGCAGCAAGTCTCAGATGAGCCTTATCTACTGAACTGAAAAAATCAAACAGCAAAAGACCAAAGCATATCGGCCTTTATTATGAAGCCAAATACTGAACCAGCCAAACTAATAGTTTGCCAGTGGCAAGACATTTTCAAATTCCACAAATTACACATTACCTTGACTGAATTTCTTTGGAGATTTCACCAAAGCAGAGAATATTTTTAAGGATCAACACCAAGTCATCAATCCCCGAACGAAGATGAGCATCTTTTACTGGCAAATAGCTTTTGACCAATGTTTTGATGCCAAAAATCTGTGAAAAAGTTTTACTTAATCAAGCTAGTGCTTTAATTTCAATAAAATATGAGTTTATCAAGTCTTGGAATTTGTACAAATCATTAAAACAGCTTGCTAAAAACTGAAAATCCAACCTTCAATAAACAAATCTCACTCCTATTCCCCCAAGAGTCTTTCCCATCATCTGTTGATGCCTGAAAAAGAAACATACATTAGCTAATACAAGGATGGACTAGATAATGAATCGAAAAATCAAACACAACTTGTCAATAAGACAAAGAAAATTCAAGCATACTTGGTTGCACTCTAATATACTTTTCTTTATGAACTCTTCGATCTCACTTTCCCTTGTTTCAAAGACCGGCATAGCAGTTTGTGCTATACATCCAAGAGACTGCAGAACAGCAGCCAAATGAGACTTCTCCTTGAGCATATCAACAAGCCTCTGTACACCATGGGTAATACCAAAGAATGTTGACACCAGATTATAGTTAGAGGACAATACACCATATTAGTTTCTTTAAAGGAGACAAGAAGAGAGAGCAAAATGTAATGTTCTAACAGACCTTGTACAAAACAGAGAGTGACATGAGACCATCATCTGTTGTTATTGATGCCAGAGCATGCACAGCATACTTTGCCTGCCTCCGACTACCCTCAACACAGAACCTCTCAAGCATAAGGTCTAAAGATCTGCAAATAAGTACAAAATTTCAATTAAACGCGAGGCAACTTGAAATAAAACAGACATTGTACAACATGTACCTTGATGAAACTCCTAATTGTTCTCGAATGGATCCACCAGCCTTTGCTAAAATATGTAGAACACCTTCTTTAATTATCTCATTGTCATCTTCAAGAAGATGTATCAGATTTTCTTCAAGGCCACTGAGAAGCAGAGGACTGAAACGTGCAAGAATCTGAAAATGCATCACAAAAACATTTGAAAAATATGAGGTATGATTTTAGGTAACCAAGAATAATTAAAGCACAAGACATACAACCTAACTATACAAGGTATAAAGACAAGGGTTGTATAGCATAATTATTTGAAGCACTAATGCTAGTTCAATTTCTAAAATGTATTTCCAACAACCATTTTTACACTACTTTTCTGTCCCTTTTAGTTTCTTTTGGATTTTTTTTTTTTTGGGGGGGGGGGGGGGGGGGGGGGTTGTGCTTTGCCATAGGATGGGGTGGGGAACAACTGAATCATATGCCTACAGTGAGACCTTACAAGTAAATGATACGTGGCTACAAGTAGAACATAACTGGATAAATAAGTAAATAGACCAGTAAATTAGGAATAAGTGCAATACCACAAGTACAGTCATGCATGATAGAATCAGATGGCTACTTCCAGCACTTTTATGTAAATTGACCTCCAGAAGGATGTCTCGCACATGCTCCTTACTGAAAAGTATGTATGAGCATTTTAAGGACAGAATGCTCAGGAAATCATACAGCGGATGCTTCTCACCAAGGATCTTAAGCAAATCATCCTGTGGGATAAAAGTTATTAGATATAACCCATGACTAGCTATTTTATGACTTGATTTCTTAACAAGTAGAAGAGTAAGGAACAACACAAGCTGGAGAGAATTCAACTTAGATTTATATCCTCACCCGAGAGTTACAAGCATGAAGAGAGTCGGTATTCGGATCAAGGAGAACTCCTAATATCTTCCACACATTGGCATCTTTTAACTGGTCAAGGATCTGAAAGTTTTCCTCTGCTTTTGCAGTGTCAGTAAAACAATGTGACATAATGCGGAAGCATAACATTACTTTCTTTTGGAGCTCAGCTGGATCACCATCCTACATTAATTGTCAAGGTCAATCGTATTATGTATATGCTTGTAACCTACTATAGATTTAGTTTTAAGGCTTTGATAAGTTGCAAACCTGCGGCGTCTGTCTTAAAGAAAGATACCTCCTCATCTCTTGTTGTAACCTGCAGTTAACAAGAGATACCTCCAAGTTAATCTAATTGTAAAAAAAGGAAACAAATTAAATAAACAGAAACCACAAAGAAATGGCTGATTTAAAAGACAGATGAACAAACCTTTGCTTTTGTTCCAACATCTTCTCAAGAGCCTTGACCTCAACTTTGTCAAAACCTGAGAAAACCCTAACCCAATTTTTAACTTTATCCTTGACAGAAAACTCATTGGGGAACAAGGACAGACATAGAACAGGTTCAACAGCATCTGATCTGCAGAAAAGGTTATAGTGTTAAATCATGTTATCTCAGCCAGTTCCAAAAGCATATAGTCAAAGAGAGAATACTGAAACAGGGTGAATTGTTTTACCATAGCCCCTAATTGAGATTTCAAAAATCTATAATTTCCAGTATTAACATTAGAAATAGCCAATGCTGCAGGGTTTCTCACATGAGGTTAAAGTCCATTTCACGAAGGTAATGGGTTTTAATTCCCATTTTATTTTCCCCTAACCAAGGACATAATGTGATCCTTCTCATGGGGTTTTAATTCCCATTTTATTTTCCCCTAACCAAGGACATAATGTGATCCTTCTCATCCATGTTGTCAAGATAAATTTACCTGAAGTCCTTGTCATAAAAACATCTCAAGATCTTCCCAGGGATCCAGTCATATTCATAGCTTTTTTGTGAGTCAGTAGAACAGTTCAAACAATAATTTCTGTATATCTCAGCTAGCCTCTCCATTGTATATCTTTTAACAAGGACCTAGAGAAATTTTTCAAAAGTATTGTCAGAAGAACTGATAAAGCATCAACTCTCGCTCAAAATATGCATTCCAAGAGAGATCAACATACAGATTTGTCTCGAAGTCTGTCAGCGACAAGCTTGATTCTTTCAACCTCTATTGAGGATAAGGCACGACATGCAACATCACAGAGCACAGCAACTACTTGTTTACGGACATTTTCATCATAATCCAATAGTCGCTCACATAAGGCAGCTAGAAAAGATCTATACCAGATTAGAATCAAAATGTAAAAACTTAAAACACATCCAAAAAGCAAATCAAAATTCCTTACAAATGATCTGCGGAGCTTCAGCTCTAAATGGATCACAGAGCAAACAGCCTTTAACATTTTCAAGGACAGACATCCGGACTTCAACAATTCTATCAGTTAGCCTCTTTAAAAACTCCAAAAATAATGATTGAAAAGCTTCAGTGATTGCATATTTTGGCATAGCAAAGAGATCCCCAAGTAAGCTAACCACTTTTAATCGTACATCTAGCTGATCAGCCTGTAAAATTGAAATTTGGAAAGCAATAAATTTACAAACTGGAAATCAAGAAACTTTCCTCACAAATTACTAAAGTAGCAATTTTAAGATTAGAGGAAGTCAATAGCATTAAACAATGCCAAAGTTTATTTTTGTCCTTTTAAATAAGTATGATTTTATTAGAAGCATCAACAGAGCACATATAATAACAAAGCAATTTACTAGCTATATCTCCCCAGAAAAACATCAGTCCCCTACAGGAAATACAATTTATACATCAACCATAAAGGAAAACTAAGAATGCCAACTTCCTCAACAGGCACACAAAGAAACGTTAGCAAAAGGAAAGTAGGGAAATTCACCCTTTTGCTTCCTGAAGTTGCAATCTATTGCCAGTCGCAATGCATGAGAAATAAGGTCATGGGAAGTTGGATTGGTAGATTATGAACAAAAAGGATGTAGGTAAAGCAAAAAGTATTACCAGCAGCTCCCCTGTCAGGTAGGGAACAACTCCTGATAGAATTTGAGGAGCACAACCGTAAATGTCATAAATGACCTCATGGTAATCTATTTCAAAATCATGTGGCCTACTTTCTCCAGACATTGAAGATAAAAGAAATTGCTTGATGCCAGGTTCAAGTTTTCCTGTACATTGTTCTATCAAATCCACAGCAAGCCTCCTCCCAGCCATTGTTACTCCCTAGAAGTTGAAGTTAACAATTAAGCACTTCACAAAGGTCACAAAATGGAAATTTTGAGCTTCAACAGCTGACTTTTTCTCCTAGAGAGGAATGCTTACCTTTTTATTCCGTCCTAGAGCAGACAAAATAATAGCTAAAAGATCCTCCCGTATATCCTCACTTTCTTCTAAGATTACAGCCATAATTGTTTTCATTGATTTTAGAACATTTTCAGGGTGCTCCTCTCTGCACATGTTAATAAAACAATTAGTTAAAGGGAACACTGAAACAAACATTTTAATGTGTATACGGAGTTGCTAAATATAGGTATACATTGAGAATTCCAAAACTGTCAAACAAGTCACACACCAAAACTAATTAATAGAAACTTCATAAAATAATAATGCAGACCTGGCTTCCCTGAAAAAAATACTGAACATTTCATTGACGAGATCATCACACTCAAGATCCAGCATTACAACACATGATCTGTATCTCGCCACAGTCTCTAAAATGACAACTTTTCTACCAAAATATGGATTGTTCATATCATTTAGTCCAGTGAAAGTGCTCACAATCAAATCAAAGATGTCCTGACCATAAATCAAAAGACATTTAGAAGCATATCAAATTGCAAAATGATGAAAAGTACACGCCAAATGCATAGACAAAGAAGTTGTCTCCGTTAACTGTTTCATTTCAAAATTAAAGGATTACCTTCAGAACATCATCATTGTAGGGAGCCTCAGGTGCTGTAATTCTTGTTATTTCACAGATACATGTAGCAACAAGAAGCTTAACCTCCCTATCTTGATGCTTTAGAAGTTCAGGTTTAACAATAGCCTTTTGAAAAGACTGCATGGCTTCCAAAACCGCTTTAGGGGGTGATTGATCCAAGTCAGAAAGGCATGTTGAACCTTGCTGTCAGTATAAGTGCATGTAAAAATTAGCTACGCCATGGCCTGAATGACTATACAGGTAAAACGAGATTATACAAATAAACACCCAAGCCAATAAGCTCATTTTCATTCATCCAGTCCCTAGATTACAGCAACAGAGTTTCCAGGTAGTATTCCTTTTTGCAATAGTATTAGGAACTTTCCTAAATGTCGGAGTTTTAATAACATTTTGTTAAGATTCTATTTTCAAAACATTTTGCTCTTAAGTGTAACAGTCGCGTTTCTGAAATGCGGCTTTAGAATTATATTTATGAAACGCGATGCCGAAGATGCGGTCAAAAATTGCGACTCTGAAAGCATTTAATGAGATCTTGAAGTCAATTTAAACACAAATACATGTTATTCAGAGAAAGTTGTATCACAATTAATGCAATTCCATGAAGTCGATTTGGGCATAAACACATTTTGTACAAGGGCTTAAAGGTAACTCCACGTGTTACACTTGCATTACACATCATCCACAATTTTGTGTACAGTAGTTCAGAAATAACATAGTAATACAGCCATACGGATTATTAAATTTGTCAGATTTAAGAAAATTACTAAAACAGTGTGCCCAGGTCTGTGCAATTTCCCAGTTTTCTGCTACAGCTTTGAAAATGTACTTAAATTCAAGGAATAAAGGCTCCTCCCAGAGGGGAAATCGGGTTTCTCCATAAGAACACAAGCGTGCATTCTAAATTGGTAGCAAAGATCCGTAAAATGAAATTCATCCTGATAAAGCCTCAAATTTTACAATCCCCACAGAAAACCTTCTTAGCATAATCAAGAAAAGGTCAAACCATTCCAACTTTTCCCTACTATCCGGTAAACAAGAACCCTAATTCAGCTTAAATGCCCGAACTTACCATTAACCCTAAAGAACAAAATTAAGCACCCGAAGCCTCAAACTGGACCCAAATAAAGCAACAATCAAGCATGAAAATAGCAAAAGCAAGTGAATTTTACTAGGACAGTAACAAATGTAGAGAGAAAATTACACTGAATTTGAACCAAAAGAGTAAAAAAAGTGCAACCTTTAAGAGCTTAACGAGAGAGTCTTTAGTGTTGGGAAGAGAGTCGAGCTTGGATCCGAGGTCTTCGAGCTTTTGAAGATTCTGAGCCATGGTGTTTCGTTTCGGAGCTTCGATATTTGCCGACTTTCACATTTAGCTCTGGAAAAAATTTCGAGAGGGAGATTGAGACAAGCAAGCCAAACCGAATGAGACTTCAAATTTATGTTTTATTATATTTTTTTAATGGAAAATATTCAAAAAAGAAAGTGATGTAAAGTCTTGACTTCACCACCGCTCAGTGCTCTCTCACCCCCACGCCAAACGCCCCCCGATTCATCTCTCGGATGTTGCTTTATCGGATGGGATTTTTTCACTAGACACCCTTGTACTTTATAGTCTTTCCACAATTCCCACAAATTGTATTTTTTTTGTAACTATACAGCAATTATATAGAATCAATTAACATAGAATAAATAGTGTGTGACAACTCCGTGAGCTCAAACAAGAATACAAGTAGTGCATTTGATGTGCAAGTTTAGGCAATATTCAAGGGCCTTCGAGTGGCATGGAGTAAAAGGTACCGTCAAATAATGATTGAGACAAATTCTATAGTACTAGATAAGGGAATATACTCTGATACGTTATATATAATTTGATCCTTATTTAGAGACAATTCCTTAATTTGGCAATGAAGGATGGTCTTGGTATTGATTTTCTTAGGGGTGACTTATAATGGATGCCGGCATCCGGTAACGTCTGAGCTAATAAGGCCGAAAGGTGAAAACGGTGCTAGATACTTGCGTTTGTCGTCATATGAGGCTTGAGGCTCTAACTCATATGAGCTGAGGGCATATAGCAATGTCGACAAGTCAAGGAGCAAACAGAGAAGTAATTGGGTGATGATCGACTAATTAATTGATTTTGATTAGATTAGATTTTTTTAATACTCGGGTGGCCATGCAAAAAAACTCGATTACTATATGGGCATAGAATTTATGGGTCTATCCCTCCAAAATCATGCAAAACGCGTGTTGGACCCATTTTGACTGATGGTAATAAACTGAGTTAATCAAAGTGTTGAGCTTAAATTCATAAAAGTTAATTACCAAAATGGTAAATTGACTATAGCAAAATTATCAATTTAGTCCTTAACTTTTTTTTTGCCTAATTAAGTCCTCAGCTTTAAAAATCTTAACCAATTTCGTCCTACATTTGTTTAGCCGTTAGACGTCTGTTTACTCGAGACCATATTGGTAATATTGGTATAGTCAAGGTCTTAAGGGACCATTTATGTAATTAACTTTCGGTTTAATAAGAGAAAAAATGATACATATGATGACCGAAATGATCCCTTGACTACATCGAAATTACTAATTTGGTATAAAGTAAATGAACGTCTAACGGCTAAACAAACAGATGACCAAATTGATTAAGATTTTTAAAGTTGAGGACTTAATTAGGTAAAAAAAAAAAAAAAAAAAAAAAAACAATGATCAAATTGATAATTTCACTATAATCAATGGACCATTTTAACAATTAACTCAATTCATAATAATAATAATAATAATAATAATAATAATAATAACAACAACAACAACAACAACAACAACAACAACAACAACAACAACAACAACAACAATAATAATAATAATAATAATAATAATAATAATAATAATAATAATAATAATAATAAATATTATTAGACTGAGTAGTATGACCATTTTATGAGGAAAAATGTCAAATATATATATAAAAAAAAAATCATTTTATCCTTTTTTTTTTTTTTGGGAAAGGTTATCATTTTCTCCTTATTTAGAACAATTATCAAATTTTAAAGGATTTTAAATTGAACTAATAATTATTAATAACTTAATTACTCAAATCAACAAGGACCAAATCTAAGATTTAGATTTCAGCAGTTGAATTTTGATTTTTTATATATATATATATATATATATATATATATATATATATATATATATATATACACTAATAAGAGCCCAAGAGAGTTAGGCCTATAATGGGTATAAAAAATGGCGGTCACATTTTTTAATCAAATGAATGGCTCAGATTAATTAGATTTTAATTTTTCCTTAAGATTTCATAATTTATCCTTAATGAATATGATTATCCGTTAACTTTTCCGTTAAATATTATCTTTTTCGTTAATTTTTGTTAGTTCACCGTTAACTTACTCATTGATTTCAATAAGAAAGGTCTTAGGTTCGAACCCCATCCCAATCAAAGTTGGCATAATTAGTACTCTATATTTAGTAGCTACAACAAAAAATAATAAATATGCATTTCTTTAATTTAAAATTATGTGTCTACAATGTCTTTAATAAAAAAAATTATTCATTATCAATAAATTAAATAAAGAGAAATAATTTCATTAGTTATATTGTATTTATTTTTCTCCAATATAAAATTTGTTTACATTCAAATTCATCAATTGGTTATATTTGCTACATTATCCCTACAATGTCTTTATTAAAAAAAAATTATTCATTATCAATAAATTAATTAAGAGAAATAATTTTATTAGTTATATTGTCTTTATATTTATCCAATGTAAAATTTCTTTACATTCAAATATTTATCCAATGTAAAAATTCTTTACATTCAAATTCATCAATTGATTATATTCACTACATTGTCTATTATCATTTTTTGTGCACTATTTTTAATTAAATATCAAAGTTATAATACAAAATGATGCTATATATTTATTTACCAAGTATTTTATTAATACCATGAAAAAATTAAAAAAATATATATATAATTAATAAAGTCAATCATATTAACCACTTGAGGGATTTATTGACAAAGAGAGTATTCAAATCACACAACAAATTGAAGTGAGAACTACCTCGCAATGTCCTTGTTTGACAATCAGCAGTTAGCGGTTAGCGTTAGCGAATTATATTAGCGAATTTGACCAGAGAATTATATCAACGGTTGGTAAAAAGATATTTGAAAAAATTAGCTGTTTAGATTAACATATAAAATGACCTAAGAGTATACATATATTTAATAATAATAATAATAATAATAATAATAATAATAATAATAATAATAATAATAATAATAATAATAATAATAATTGTTTTTAAAAAATAAAAAATATATATAATTAAGTCAATCATATTAACTACTTGGGGATTTATTGACAAAACAAGTATTCAAATCACATAACAAATTGAAGTGGGAAACTATCTTGCGATGTCCTGTTTGGCAATAAGCAGTTAGCTCTTCAATATTAGTATATATTTAATATTTTATCCCTAATTTTTATTTGCTCCCCCTTATATCCCGTATTTGGTTTCAACCATACCTATACAATTATTTTATTGACAATTATAATCAATCTTGACTATATTATCTTGCATTTGTAAACTTAGAATTGCCTATTTAAATACGCAAATATAACATTCAATTATCTATGCATGAACAATTCCAATATAATCTTGCCTTGATATACTTTAAAGTACTTATTTAAAAGAACAACATTGGGCATTATCCCAATCGCGTAATGCGCGTAAAAAATTAGTATATATATATATATATATATATATATATATATATATATATATATACCCAACTCAAATTCTGGGAAACCCAAAATCTCATAGGCACGATAGGGGAACCTAGACGTGGCTCACCAAGTCTCGAGCCATCGCCCACCTAATATATATATATATATATATATATATATATATATATATATATATATATATATATATATATATATATATATATATATATATATATATATATATATATATATATATATATATATGGGTGATCACATGTGGCCATGTTGTTAAGTGTGGTCATATAGTCAATTACAGGCCACTAGATTAGATAGATCCAATGAATCACATTAATCAAAATTCTTCCAGTATTTTTGCGCACATTCTCCTACCCAGCGAACTGCAAGGGTAAAATCGTCGTAAGGCACCGGAATATGAAAAATCACATTGTTGTGTGTTTTATTTGTGTAATTGGTGCATTATTAGCCTTACTCTGGTGTATTTGCAGATTCCCATTGGTGCCAAGTTCAGGTGCGGCAACGCCTTCCCGTGTGGTCAGTGCGGGCGCACCAATTGTTATACAAATATACACAATCCATGTTATGAAATGTACAACAAAAAACATACACAAATTAGGAACACATCACCAAAAATGCGCCATTAGATATGAAAAAATACACCATACAGTGTTCGGAAATACACTATTGGTGTGTTTCACTGTGGTGTGTTTTATTACACTATTGGTGCATGTTGTTAACACTGTTGGTGTATTCTGGAACCCGACCGCTATAAATGGCCACTGTAATTACCATAACACCCCCACGCGCGAAAATCCTCAAATCCTCAGAATTAGCCACTGCCGTTAGATTAAACTGATTCAACGACACAGATACGACCACACCGCCACACCTAATGGCATGACCACATATGAGCTCTTATATATATATATATATATATATATATATATATATATATATATATATATATATATATATATATATATATATATATATCAGATGCAGAGGCTAAGTCCAGGTGAAACATGCGGTAAGATGATAGATTGCCAAAATCAACGTCCAACATGAACACATATTTAAAAAAAAATGCGATGATAATTTGATCATTTTGCGTATTATTCAAACTTAAGGTGCGTATTTTATGTGCTTAAGGTATGTCGTTTTAATACTTAAGGTGATCCAATTTAATAATTAAGCTGTGTCAGTTATATAGGTGATAACTCTCGGTGCGTTTCTTGTTGAAACTTAAAGTGCGTCATTATAAAAGCTTAAGATGCGTCCTTTTAATACTTACGGTGCGTCATTTTAACATTTAAGGTGCGTCAGTTATACACTCAATGTGCGTCATTTTAACACTTAAAGTGCATGCTTTTTACTACTTAAAGTGCATCTTTGTAACACTTAAGGTACGCCATTTTAACATTTAATGTATGACATTTTAACACTTAAGGTGCGTCTTTGTATAACTTAAGGTGCACCATTTTTAGCATTTGCCATTTCCTTTCAGGACGCGTTTTTTTTTTTTTTTAAATTTTCATTGATTTGAGTCGTTGATCTAAATTTGATCAATGACTCAGATCTCACAGCATGTTCACAACTAGGAGATTTTCCGCACCAGATCTCATCCACACACATATATATAGATTTAGGATCACATGAGAACACTTGCTTAGGTGAGAACAAATCGTGTGCATCCATCTAATATTTTTTAATGATCTAGATTATATTAAGTGTGTGCGAACACGAATTAAATGTGTGCACACGCGATTAAGTGTGTTTGCACACATTTAATTCGCATTCGCACACACTTAATCTAATCTAGACTATTAAAAAATA